GAAGACACAAGCTCAAGTTCAAGTAATGAATAAGCGAACCCTTGACCATTGGTGCCCAAAGAAGAGCTTGTTCTCTATGTCACCACACTAGTTCCTTATGGCCAAGTTAGAGATGTAAGTAATGACACTTCCTCTTCTAATGATGATGAAGAAGATTTTTGTGAGAAATAAATGACTCCTATGAAATAATATAAGGAATTCAAGGCTCTTAAGACTAATGAAGATACTCAAGCTATCTATTGTAGGCTGTTGAACACCTTCTCGACTGCTAACTTCTTGGCAATAAATGCGGCATGCACTAAGATTCTATACATACTTTAGTTGAACTAACAAAGTTCCACAAGTTTATGAATTTTTTTTAAATACATGGACATTATAGAAGAAAGTGGGACAAAGTAGGGTCAAATCCCTGGTCGCTAGACCTCTTAAGGCTGGTCGGTCGATCCCACCATGGTGGACTCGCCTTGTTACCTTTGACCTCCATGCAAAGAAACACATGTAAGAGCATGAAAAGCATTGGATCTAGATTGGTTTCCTCAACTGGATTGAAGGAAGTGAACTGGAGATATTGAAGGGACCACCATTGGAACTAAAGTCAACTAACTTCTCGACCAGCAATTTCCTTAGAACCAAATAATAATTGGCACAGATCGATCGAAGAGCAGAGGTTGTGTAACATAAGCTAGGTAGCCTAGATGACAAGGCCAAGCCGCTTGGACTTGTGCACCAATCTTTCTCAAATGCTCACCAAGCATGCAACCACCACTAGGAACAAATCTGAGATGTAGGAATATTTTTGTTAGCTTTTGGGAACATCATCCCTAATTACGCCACTAAGGCCAACCGACACCCACCTTAGCTTGCACCACTTCACCGGTCTCAACCAACATGAATGTAGCCTAGATCCATGCTATTTCAATAGCGAGAGGAAGTGAGATGCAATGCCACACCGACATGCAGCCATAGGACTAGGGTGAGGGGGTCATTTGCACGTTAATACCTTGTAATCTTGCAATTCATATATTGCAAGTTCACATGGAAGTTGTAGCTTTTCCCCAAGAGTAATCTAGGGTTTGCACACGGGTTTCTATCTAACTCAAAGGATCAACTATAATGAAGAAGCACAAAGATAATATATGATAATGGTGGTAAAACCAAACATAGGAAAAAGATTTGAACAAATGGATATTGGCATAGAACAAAAGTATGATGTTATTAGATTTAACACTAGTCCATGATTAGAAAAACTAATAAGAATACAACTAGTAAATAGATATATAGGACCAAGCCTAATAGATAAACAATTAATTAGAGCTTAGTTAGATCAACATGAATGACCTAATTAGAATATGTAAGTAGAGGGCTAGTTAGAGTCTAATTAGAGAGCCCTAGTTAGAAGTAAGCATCACACCAAATATAGAGGTATACAACTACATAGATATCTCAAAAAAAGTTGTAGAGCTGTAGCCAACAATAAAAGAAATCAAGCATGATATTGAAAAGCCTCTTTGAAGTTTAAACCACAACCCTCTATTCCACCTCTCAAAGATCATTTCCCATATCATTAAGTGTCAAGAGCGATCTAAATAATTTAACTTAAGGCTAGAACTTAAGATTAGAACTAGAATTGGAACACTCAATTAAGATGAAAGAATAATTAGAGCCAAAGGATCGCTAATCAACTAATAAACAAGAACATAATTAATACCATAATACCTCCACCATGATCATACAAGGCTCGAGAACTCTGATGAAGATCTTCTAAATAGAGGCTTTTATAAACTCCCTCTAGCTAGCAACTAGAACAAGAAGAATGTGTAGAACTAGATAACTTTGCTTGGTCCTTATCGATCTCTCTATCTAGATATATTTTCTCTTGTTGAAATTTTGATAGGAAGCATCACTTCTTTAATGATTTTGGGCACCAAAATATATATTTATGCACTAGGATATTTATGGAGAAATGAGTGGCAAAATCGTCTCATAATTAAGTGGGGCCTACGTCTGGGTTATGCAACTACAACCCAAATGAGTCTCTGACTTCCTTCCTAATCTTGTGTTCTCTATTCTAGGGTCCAATTGACCAAAATCCTGCAGGAATGTTGCGCATAACTCCATCTTCTCCTCACTTTTCTAATTCTAAGAATAATGCCGACGCGACTCCTTGTAAAACCTTCCAAGATTGGTGAGACCTTGTTCAATTTTTGTCTTGAAGCTTCCAAACATAGAGTAATCTATTCTGGTTCTAATTTCTCCATATTAGGCCAATTGAGAATATGGTTAGCTTTATTCTGACTTGGTCTTCCATTATATATTTTACTGAGTGAAATATGTGTTTGATCCATGTAATCTCATATGGTGTGTTTTGCTCCAATAACCTATAAACATCAACATAGCACAAAACTCAAACAATATTCCAAATGCATATATTTCAAATATAAAATTGTTGATGGCATTCCTTTCATATGATAATAGGGAAAATATAGTGTATAAAAGTCATGCATATTGAGTGCAACACTGCAACGGTGTAACAGCATGGGTACGGTACCCATAGGAGCGATTGCCCGGTCTCTAACATCGAAAGCAGCACATGCTATGATGGCACTCTAATGCTCTATGCATCACTGAGAAGTTGTGAAGGCACTTTTCCATGAAGATCCACCAACAATGGGCATTGTGAACCCCCGGAGTCCTCCTTCAGCACTGACTAATAACTTCAAGCCACCACATATAGACCACACACTTCCACTTAGCAATGGTGTATCTCAGAGAAGTTACCATTGGTGGACAACCCAACTAGAGATGCCATCAGGCCTTTGGGCGATGCTAGACTTGAACAAGCTAGCAGCTAACTTCCATGGGGGTCTTGCCTATAATCTATCGGGGAAAGCCACCACATATGATCATAATAGGCAGGTGGAAACTTGGAACCGGGCTTGTCAAAACCAGGTGAAGTAGAGTTATCATTCCACAAGTACTCAGACTTGGAATAACGTCCGTTAGGCTAGAGCTCCAAGAGGAGGTGTTGGCTAGGTTCGGTAGTGGCAACCATGCGGATGAAACGACCTCGAAGATGGCCATATATTGGGTCCAACGTGGATGTCGGTGGGTGACTATGGAGAGGTGATGTGCCAGGGGAGTAGGAGGGTCCATCCTAGAGTGTAAATGGCTAGCTAATTGCATATGTTAAGAATGAAAACTATAGGCAGTTAATCTTCAGTCTTTTTAGAACAATGAAAGTTTGGCTGCCTATTTAGCTCATCATCAATATGATTTTGCAAGTATAAATGTTAGGAGAAAGGGGCATTCAAAGCATTTGATACTTGATGAACCTTGGTGTAGAGTAGCGGCTTCATCACACAGGCAACCATGGCAATTTTTTACCAGATCTAGGTAGTGAAGGTAGATCCCATCCTTACGATGAGACGTACCTTGACAACCCATCCTTGGTGACACTACAAGAAGCTTGATATCGACCTCCTAAGTCGGTCTTATGTTTAGTGCCTACTCTGAGAGTAGCCACATGACTCCTAAGTCTTAGGCAATGTTGGTGGGTAAGTTCGGCCAATGAGGGACATTGTAGAATTAGTTTTTGATTGGTGGTGTGGGGTGTTGACCATGGTAACATGATTGGGGAGGAAGTGGATACATGAAGGCTAGGCGGCACTGAAAATGCCCATTTTCATGATGAGGACGGTAGCGATAGTGGCACTGAGATCGATGTCTGTATGATGAAACAACATTCTACGAGTTCGTTGCATGATGAGTGGACACCAACAATTTATAATTGCATTAAGCAATGACACATACGTCAAGAATATATAGGTTTAGTATAAGGAGCAACCCGTTCATGAGTACTAATATAAATACAAATTTTAATAATACGAGAAAACCTTGTCTTCCAATAAGCTTCCATAGAAGCATCCTACAGACCTAGAGATAATATCAAACATGCATGGAGGAAAGGATTTGTAAAGACAAAACAGGAGAAGCCATAGTCAAATTTTCCTAGCCAACCAAAGCCATGGAAACGTGCTTTTCATTCCTCATCCATGGTATCCATACTTAGGGGCAAAGCTGATACCAATATTACCCAAGTACATTATACTATATAACTCACCAAAATGCCTAAAGAATTGTATGGCAAAATTTCAGTCTACCAATAGAAAACTTCTTCACCTAGGTGCATTGGCACTATGGAAAACCAATGTAGCATTGCCCTACCCACACTCTCATATATAGAAGTAGTCATCAAATTTGTGCAAGTTACATGAAAAATGCCACTCAATGATTATGTGTACAAGTTAAATTGACAGGGATATGTTAGAAATTTGATATCTTCTACTTCCTCAATTCCAAATTATAAGACATTTGAATTTTTCTAGATACATAAGTTTTGCTATGCCCTTATAAGTTTTGCTATGCCCTTAGATAGACACTATGTCTAGATATATAGTAAAAATAATATATCTAGAAAAGACAAAACGTCTTATATAATTTAGAACGGATGGAGTATCATTTCTCAATAAACAGAATAACTATTTTACCAAATGTTTTTCTACAAGGCTTTAGCTTCAAAGAAAAAGCTACTTTCCTAAGAAAAGCTAGAGCACTGCCAAATGGGGCTTAACTTTCCAGCAAGACTCACATAAATCTTTTGGCAAGTAATTATAAACTACTCGTCTCATCTGTATCATCATACATACAGCCATAATTCACAGCCTTATACTAGATATGTTTTATTATATTATATTATATAAGAAAAGAAATTAAGTAGGCTGACTGACATGCCAAATGGACGGTGGCACCTGAGATGGAAAGTGGTCCCACACCACACCTCGACTGCAGTCTACTACTCTACTCGTGTTGCCCTTGCCACCTAACCCCGCTCCACTAGCTCCTCCCTCCCAGTATTTCTTTCCCATTCCCATCACAGCCTCCGTTTCCAAGCCACCAAGATCTGCTAGGGCCTAGGGCTGCCTTCCTTGCTTTCCATGGCGATGCAAGAGCAGGAGCGCCGCTCCCCGCCGCTGGAGACGACCAGGACGGCCTCCGACGAACTGCAGGTGCCTGGATTAGGCCCGATAACTGGGGGATCTGAGGCGACCATGGCGACCGGCGACATGGCCTGCGGTGGTGTTGCTGGCGAGGAGGAGCGGGGGCCGGAGGGGGGCCCCGACAACGTCCGCTCATCCTCGCCTTGGGTGGCTCTGCTGTCCGTCGTGGGAGGTTTGAAACCTTGCAGCTCCCACACTTTTGCCTGCCCCGAATTCCAGCGCAAGCCACGCAGCCATGTCCCCCGCGCCGCGCCGTCCCACCGGTGGGGCTTCAAGCTCGGGCCCGTTCTCCCACCGGCGCCGGTCAAGAAGAAGACCAGGAGGAAGAGGACGGCGAAGAAGCGGGACAGGCAGTGCGCGCTGTGCGACGCGACCGAGACGCCCCTGTGGAGGACTTGGCCGACCGACCGGCGGGTCACGCTCTGCAACGCCTGCGGGATCGGGGTCAGGACACCCGGGGGGGTGCTGCCGGAGCTGGTGTACCTCCCTCATCCGGCGACGGCAACGACGACGGTCGTCTCCGAGCTCCAGCAACCGGTGGCGCCCCCACAGGAGATCCAGCCGGTCTCGGACTCACCCGGGGCGGCGCTCCCGGAGAAGGTGTACGTGCACCTCCCTCCTCCGGCGACGGCAACGACGACGGTCGTCTCCGAGCTCGAGCAGCCGCCCCCACAGGAGATCCAGGACCCGGAATCCCCGCTGGACAGCCCTATCCTGGAATACATGATAGATGTCGACGTGTACCTGCTGAGGAGGACGTCGCCCAGGCGGGAGAAGTCTCCACCGCCGCCTCCTCCTCCTCCGACGACGACGACGACGACGGCGACGGCGACGGCGGCGGCTGCGGCGGCGGAACCCGCGCTGGCGCCGGCCCCGGGCAACGAGAAAGACAAGCCGAAGAAGTGGTGCCTGCACTGCGGCATCACGTGGACCCTGCAGTGGAGGACGGGGCCGGCGGGCGAAAGCACGCTGTGCAACGCGTGTGGCGTGCGCTACAGGCAGGGCCGCCTGGTGCCGGAATACCGGCCGAGGGCGAGCCCTACGTTCAACCAGTCGGAGCACGCCTACAAGCACCGCGAGGTGCTCAAGATCCGCAAGAAGCAGGACCATCCTGCACCGCCGGCGGCGTTCAAGCCTATCCGGACCAGGAAGCGCCGCAAGGGCAAGGGCCAGCAGCAGCCTGCACAAATTCGCAAGAAGCGCAAGCGCAGCAACGATCAGAACCAGCCTGCACAAGCACAACCAGCTGCGGTGCCGGTGCTGCGGCACGCTGGTGATGAGATGGAGCAGCACCTTCCTCCTCCGCCACCGGAGCTGCCGCGTGCTGCTGATGACAGGGATACGATGGCACAGCACCTGCCTCCGCCACCGGCGCAGCCGCACGCCGGTGGTGAGCTGATAATGGACAAGCCGCTCCCCCCACCGGACCCGTTCCTGTTCGATGGGCCGGCGGCGCCAAGGATCATCGACGACGATGAGCCTTGGGTGATCGTGATCGATGACGACTAGCTAGCTAGGGCGCTAGGCTAGCGATGATAATGAATCTAGCTGGGGGTGATGGCATGCTCGTGAGCTCGTCAATCTGCGGAACTATGCATCTCTGGGGTTTCATGACTCAATCATAAGTCGAACTCCAGTCTTCTTTTTTTTTCCTTTTCTTTCTTTTTTTTGGCAGGCAGAACTCCAGTTTTCTTGTCCATGTAATCCAGCGAAAGGTAGCCAACTAGGGCAAGATGTGATCTGTAGACTGTAGGTGTAGTACTGCTAGCTGTGCGCTGAGAAGAACCTGATCGAGGTCTGTGGTTTAATCTAGGTCTACCATCTGAAGAATGAACAATCCTTTGCTTGTTTTACTGTATCATTATCAGGAAATTGCCTCTCTCTGTGATGACTGATGAGCTCCAATCGGATCCATGTAGCAGTGACGTACATATATACTTGAACACAACCGTACCACACTTCGTTATGTTTAGTTGCTAGTTTTATTTATTTCTCGCGATGAAGTGAAGCCCATCACAATCTGATCACTTTGTTCTACGCCCAAACTGTAGTGCCGATCGATTTGGTTGCTACACAAATGCACATACACTGTATATATGTAGGCGCACTGGTAGCCAAGCTGCCCATTCAAACTAGCTTCCAAGTTCCACCATTCACAGTGCCTGTCCAAGTTTAGGTCAAGTAAAAAGTTCACATCACATGAATCTGTTCAGTTTCCTCATTAGATCCTGAGAACAATCCAATAGGTGCCCAAGCAAAGTTCGACAAGCCACAAATGACATAGTTATCCTCCCCTCTACTCCTTTTAAGGGGATTTGCTCCCTGGTGCCATGCACCCTCTATCACTGGCTAGCCCAAGATCTATGGAAAATCATTCATGAATATCGGTGGGGCGCGCACCCCTCCGGTGCTTCTTCAAAACAAAGAAGTCATAGAATATCGAAATTTTCTCGACTTTGAGGGTTTTCAGGAGATTAGTTGTGATTTGCACAATGCAATATAATGATAATCAGTCTAAACTGGCTGAAAGCAAGTATTTGTATCTTGAGATTCGACAGAAATGGTATAATCACTCTAACAACTCATAAAATGTTCTAAAAGAAAAATGGCGGCAACTACAAATCCGTTAACCAATAGATAGAAATAATTAAACCGACACTTTCAATGCATTAGATGCAAGTCGACAATCTACAAATGTTACATAGATACCAACAATATGTGAATCGGTTAATCAGTGAACACAAAACCAAAATAATTTCGTGACGCTTCAAGGAAGAGGCTTAAACCAACAACACTTGTACTCGCCAATCAACAGACGCAAACCGACAATCTACAATTCGTTATGCTACGAGCAGACACCAACGGTCTATAACTATGTTAAGCAATGACGTGCAAACCGACAATATACATGTGCATTGTGTAAGGCACAATGTCGTACAAACCGACAATATACATGTGCATTGTGTAAGGCGCAAAACGACAATGTACAAGTTCGTTATACTATGAGCGGACACCAATGGTCAATAACTGTGTTAGGGCAATGGCGCGTGAACCGACAATCTACACGTGTGTTATCTAAGGTGCCAAACGACAATGTACATACTCGTTATGCTACGAGCGGACACCAACGGTCTATAATCGTGTTAGCAATAACGTGTGAAACCGACAATCTACACGTTCATTATGTAAGGATCGGAGCTACCGCTTGTTAAATATAGATGCTAAGTATAGATAGAGCAACATAAATTTCAAAAACTCTAATATGGAAAACCACAAAATCTCGCTCTAATAAGCTTCCTATAGAATCCTCCTCTCTAACTTTCCAACAAGACTTCTTGGACCTGTTGGCGTGCACTTGATTGTTTGTCCTCCATAGCATACACCTATGTACATCTTTAAGCCATCCTTAATTTGTTTTATTAGTAACAAAAACAAAGACATGATATAAAGGTATTTGTTTTTTGTGCAACAGAAATCAGATGAAGACTACACGAAAGCAGTGACTGACCAGGGCAGGGCATATCTCTCTCGGGCCCTGGGTTGGGATCTTGGAGATGGAAGCCTGCAGCTGCAGGCGCCACTACAGATAGAGGGCGTTTACTCGTGTCCTCTATACAAACCCCGGCCGTTCAGTCCACTCCACCGGGTTTTCTGGCAAAGGCTTCCGTTTCAACTGGCGGGTAACGCTCGCGTCGCGAAGCCGCGGTGACGACGAGCGCAAGGCCTGCACGCCGGACTCGCATGGCGCATCCAGTCCTACAGCATCCAACGCCTGGTGTGCTGAGCGAATCCTACGCCATACAAATTAGACACAGCACCCCATACAATAGTTTATTTTAGGCCCTATTTAGATGCAAATTTTTTTTGAAGTTTTAGAAAAATATAATACTGAGGTTTTGTAAAAAAGTTTAGTTTTTTAGAGCACCATGAAGTGTTTCAGTACATCAAACATCGTTTTGAAAACCATAATATTGCTAAAACTGTAGTTTTTTTGGAGTTCTATAAAATCCACTCTAGACAACATTTTTTAAACCATAGCTTATTTGCAGGTCTATAGGTAACTCTAGTCATCTTTTTTTAACCATAGCTTATCTTTTCTGCTCCATTCCTCCCAAAACAACATATTTCTAGTTTTTGCCAAATAATATTGTACGTTTTTGTTTGATCAGGGACTCAAATGTAAATAAGTACCACACTGGATTCATCATTAAATACATTCTTATATATATAGACAAACCTTTCATTATTTAAGAGGCTGATACTAAATAAGTACCACACTGGATTCATCATTAAATACATTCTTATATACAACATATACCTACCACTACGGGAGAAGCAAAATTCTCCGAGTGTCGCAGGCTTCCCCGGGTGCCAAAAATCGGGTACTTGGCAAAGCCAATCTTCCCCAAGTGTTGCACTCGGGGTAGAATAGCACTCACGGAAGAGAGGTTTTGCCGAGTGCCGCAGAGTGCCTAGCACTCGGTAAAGAGCGGCACTCGGCAAAGGCCCTCTTACCCGAGTGCAACACTCGGGGAAGAGCGGCACTCGGCAAAGAAAAATATTACTTGACGGCCCAGCCCGCCCAAGCCGTTAAAACTAAAAAAAAATTGCTTTGCCGAGTGTCGCACCCTGCCACTCGGCAAAGAGGCCCTTTGCCGAGTGCCATGACAGGGCTCGGCAAAGAGGCTGGCTTCCCCGAGTGCCCTGTCATGGCACTCGGCAAAGGGCCTCTTTGCCGAGTGCCAGGGAAGGCACTTGGGGAAGAATTTTTTTTTGTTTTTTTGCTCCATTTTTTTATGAGGCCTTCTCACATTATTTAAAACTCCTTGTTCAAATTTGGGATAATTTTGACTTTTTTTGGTATATTTCGTTAATTTTTTTCGTTTCGTTGAATTTTTTTGCATACTTCAAATTTGAACTGCAGGTGCATGAAATAATGGAATTTGGTGATTTAAAAAATGATATTCATGATATTTGGTGTATGTTGAGGCCGTATCCAGGAACTCACATGAAATGTCGAGCATCTTGTTGACGTAACATGACGAGGTACTTGCGGGAAAAGTGTATTTAAATCATATAAAATCCGAACAAAGTCCGAAAATCACGAAACTTATCGGGGCGTCATGTTATCGCATGTAGATGTCAGATGCCTAAAACCCAGACATCTACCTGGCCTTTTCTTGCTTTTGATAATAACATGACCGGCCATATCTATATTATTTGGCCCTTTCAGAAACTGAAGCTCAGCTCAAAAAAAACTCACTCTGTTTCCCTCTCATTGATCTTGAAAGTGGTGAGAAATGGATCGTGATGATGTGGCTGTCTTTTATTAGTGGAGGTTAATTGCAAACATATATTCCTGACCTCGATCTGAGACTTCTAATTAACCCAGTACAGTACGCAGCGGGATCTGTTCTTTTCATCTTTGGTATTAATATGTTTCTTGATTCGAATGGGCAGGGCCTACCTAAACCTTGGATCTGGTGGTATTAATATTAACTCCTTGAACGATCCTTGACATTGGAGCATGTACATATCAGCGAGCAGTAGAGTATAAAGGTACTTCCATTGGCGCACTACTACCACATGACATGCATGTTGTGCATGCTCTCTATTAATTTGTCAAGTTAGCACGACATATAGCTTGTATAGATAGCGAATCGATCGATGTTTACTTGTAGGTGTCCGAACTCCTGAGCTAACCCGGCCCGGTTGATGAATGGCAGGTGATTCAGCTAATTAATTCATTGTGATATGTGAAGAAAATAAAGCCAAATCGACTCTTCCGCTGAGGGTGGAGCTGAGGCCACCGACAGGCCAAATCTGGTCCGCTTCAGCTCAGCTCTGCTCTCGATCCCGGGGCTTCCTTTCTTGGCATACGGTCCGTCCACCGACAACAACCACATAGGCGTCGGTGCTGCCTATGTAGTTTGTGATATATAAATGTGGTTTGTGATATATTAATAAGAATTGTTGGTCTTGATGAGGTGTTCAACTCTTGTATTCATGACTTTTTGCAGATGAAGTGATTTGGAGTTTCAAATTTTGGTTTGAAGTTGCAATTTTTAAAAGTTGAACTTTTTCCTTTGATCAAAGTTTGCACCATGAAAATATGGCCGAAAACAACTCAACATATTGATAGATCATGATTTTAGAAATTTTTAGGAAAAAAAAGCGTCTGATTTGGAGATAGTATGTAGGAGAAAAACTTGTTACAAGATTTTGCCACAGATTTAAAAAACAAAACGTTTGAACAAATGGTGGGAGCTGATGAACATCTGGGCCAGCCCACCACGTGCCACCGACAAATCGGGCCCATGCGTCAGCCCAATTTTTCACTGCCGCACCCGCGCTCTCCTGCTCGCCGACACATGGGCCCCTCCCCGCCTCCCGCTCAAGCCATCCAAAACCTCCTCGCCTTATCCTCTTGCCCGGTCAGCACACAATGCAAAAATCCCCAATCTCCGTCCCCGCCGCCGCCCCGCCTCCACAGCGCCCGCCGCCACCGA